ACTACCTTATTTTCAGATACCCTAAACCCGAGACCCCTAAACCCCTAAACTCTGTTTTCAAATATGCTGTAGGCTTTACGCTTTCTTTCGGTCTTAGGAATTGGGGCTAGGGGGTCTAGGGCCACATCTCGTCCCTGCCGCCCTTCGTAGCACCCGAGGAGCCCTCTGGCCTTGTTGGAGCAGCTGTAAGAGGCGCACTCTTGGGTCTCGCAGCACTCCTCCTGGGACCAGGGAGGCTGCGACGCCTAAACCCCAAAACCCCTCAGCCCCAAAACCCTAAGCCCCAAAACCCCTAAGCCCCAAAACCCCTAAGCCCCCAAACCCCCATAAACCCCTAAAGCCCCTAGGCTTGAAGTCCTATAGGAGCCTAAATCATTACCAATACTATTTTCGAGGGGTTCCTTACTATAAATACAGGTTCTCTAGCACAGGATCTCAAAGCTCGCACAGGCTTGTCGAAGAGTCCGCAAGACTACCTCTGTCTGGTGCTTAGTAGGGAATGGGGTTCCTTTACAGGGTCCTATAAGGGTTACTACAAGGGCTATTCTGTAGGGGTTTAGGGTTCTTAGTAGACTGTCTGGTGCTTAGTAGGGAATGGGGGATTGGATATTGGGGACTATAATTATGGGGGATTAAATAAGGACTACTATAGGGATCCATTCTCCCATGCCCTACTAAGCACCAGACAAGCCAGTGCTAAGAATGACGACGGAGGCAACTGGTTTATACAGGGGCCTCTGTAATCAGAATGGAGAGGTGACGTCTTTTACAATAACGGTACAACTAGGAGCCCTAGTCACTTGCTCTTATGTTGGTAACTTGCTCCAGATGCCGGCCTCGTTGCCGGGGAGGATGCCCTTCGATCTAGGCCTAAACCCTCACACACAACAGCTGGTGGTCGAGGACGTCTGGCTTCAGGGCTTCAAACCCTAAACCCAAACCATAAACCCTAAACGTCCTTGGCTCCTTTCATTTTTGATATGGCAGCCTTTATTCTTGGCCTTGTAGGGATTGACGGAGCATAATGAAGTCTGGCTTTCGGGGTGTTATATACTACAATATCAAGAGTACCGTTGTATTTGCAGTATAACCATAAGATGGCCATATGTTTACTATAACTATAACGCCTTGTATCTAGTAACCCCAAACCCAAAACCCCCGAGCCCTGCTTTAAGCAAACCCTAAACCCTAAACCCCTAAAGCCCTAAACCCCCAAACCCTAATCATTGGCAGATCCCTTGTAGGAACCCTTAAAGGAACCCTTATAGATTCCTAAACTAAGGAGCCCAAAGCAGAATCGCATGATTCGGAGGCCTCACAAGGTGGGATGAAGGTAGGTGGGATTCAGGATCCCTTATATAAAGGACTCTTGTTTGGGAACATCCCAACTACCTTCGTCCTACCTTTTGAGGCCCCCGAATGATATACAAAAATTAGGATAGGGATATCCCATATAAACCCCGTTATACTGAAGCCCAATAAGGCAGGGATATCCCTATAAAATGTTTATGCTTATGTGATTTTTGAGGTCCCCTAATGATATACGGAACCCACAAAATCGGCGCATCTTCGCTCCTTGGTGCTTCCCAACACCAGATCTCCTCGCAGGCAACACGGTGAAGCCCTGTCTAAACCCCCCGGTTTAGGGTTTAGGGTCTAGGGTTTAGGGTTTAGGGTTCCCTTAAACCCCGGTTTAGGGTTTAGGGTTCCCTTAAACCCCGGTTTAGGGTTTAGGGTTCCCCTAAACCCTAAACCGTACTTACGCTTCGAACCGGGATTTTAGGAAATCTCGGGGCAGGGACATTTTCAGGTTAGGACTCAAGCAAGGAGGTCAAGCTTTGGGTCCTAATCTCAGGGTAGCCCTAGACCTTAAACTCCTACAGCCCAATCCCCATATATAACCCCTAACCGCCAAACTGGTTGCGGCGCTTGGAGTCGAAAAGGTGCAAGCACGCAGTCTCAACCCTGGAATCCTTAGAGCAACCTTTCTCCCTCAGCCCTTAACCTAAAAACCCATCATACCCGAAATCCCAAACCCTACCTGGACCCTCTCATGGCACTCAAAAAATAGGGTTGCGGCCAGAAAACACATTCTTAATAGTCCATGCATTAAAAAAGGGTTCGGGACATGTTTGAACCCTTTTCTTGTATTTGTGGCTTCTGCCGGAAGCTCGTGGACTCAAGGGCTTGTGTAGCTGTTGTGTGGACGATGGGCCGTCGAACTTGGGCCCGATTCTTAGCATTACGTGTACTGCTATGTTCAATCCTGAAACACAACCTTCACCCCGACAGCCTCCTACTTCAGGTCTGAAGTGGCCTTCGCTGCAGGTGCACCCTGCCTATAGTGCTCCAACAGTGCATCCGAAGTGTGGCTTGGACTGTGAAACCAGGTTACACCTAGCCGGGCCATCGCAGCATTTCATATCGAAGCTTGTAGATAGTTAACTGACCTTAGCAATGGAAGCTTTCTTGGCTTCGCATGCTGCCGCTAAGCAGAGCATGTGCACCCGAGGAGATTGGTTGGCGAAATTCCACAACATGCATCTACTTGAAGTCATGCTGAAATCATGGTTCATATGCAGGACTGAGCAATCTCGGGGATCCTTTCTGGGATGATGTTCTGAACATCGTCTATCGCGAGGCCCTGGAATTCGGACGTTTAAAGGCTTTTTGCCGGTTCTTTTCTCCAATCCCAGACTCAGGCTGGCCGGCCAGTGCCTACCTTGTCTGAAGCTGTTGTTGGCGAACTCATGAAGAATTTTGATCACCACGGAATCGTTCGGCATCTAGTCAAACGGTACAATGATGGCGGCTGCTACTCTGGAAGTGACACTTACTTGCAAAGGTATGAGCATATGAGACTGCTTACAACCAAGAGCATACAGCGAATCAAGCGAATCTCGAGGCCAGCTCAGAGTCCGGGGACGTGCAGACCAAGCCCACGGTGGCGAAGGAGCCTGCTGTCAAGTGACGGCATCGACGCTTACTGTTGTGAATTGCATAAATCCACGAAGACTCAGAAGACTCTATGATACCGAGTGCCGTGGACCAAAGTGTGTTGCACTAACATCTCGCACCCCACGGCTTGCTGTGTTCTCTCTTTGTTCCTTTCTCTCTTCCCTCCGTTCTTGCCCTCGCAGGTGAGCAGGTGTTGCGGAAGCGATGGCCTCAACCTTGGAAGCATCTGCTGCGTTTCTCTTGAAGTCTGTGGCAGGGCTTGGTGCGACTTTCGTGAAGTTGATGACTGATATGCCGCAGTCTTGCTCTGTCATTTTGGCATATAGGTTTGGGGAGCAATAGGGCTCCCTACGCAACACATCAGGCCAAGTAGTGATGGCCGGTCATCCCGTGGACATCTTGGACGGTCTCGCTGAGTCCTGGGAGGAGGACTCAGCGATAAGGCGACGCGCACGTGAAAGCAAGGTTCTCATCAAATGGCCAGGGGCCAGTTCCGTGGGAATCCCGACGTTGCTACTTGCCTGACAAAGGTCTGCTCCCATTCACTGAGCAGCAATGTCATTGACCGAGTTTTTCATCCGTGTGTGCATGGCTTGTGTGCTTATTGTACGTTACAGGTATGCCGCTGGAATGAACAGCAAAGTGCTGATCCATGCCGCAGAAGCTTGGGTTTGTGTTTTCGATTTCCAGGGAGATGTGAAAACGCCCCCGCTGAAGGCAGTCCAGGCAGAGGTGTCCCGTCTGAAACGGTCATTTCAGCTCACTTCCACATGTGTTGAGCCCTGGCCCTCCGGCTCTAACTGTTGCACCCACTGTATCCTGCTGTTGAGGTAAAGAAATTTTGGGAGATGCTCTCGGTCTCAGACAATGACGGACGTGCCGGCATGCCTGGCAAAATCCAGATTCATGCTGAAGCCTGGGGAATCCGCAAGCTGATTTCCTATATCTTTAGACGCATGAGAACACCGTCGATGTTTCGAGAGCCTCTGCCGAAGTGCTTCTCTCATGTCTCCCTCGTCTATATTTCTATCCCGAGCTCTATTTGCATCTCCATCCCGATCTTTCCTCTTCTTGTTCTTCCTGTCTTTTGCTCTTCGCGTTTTTCACGTACACTGATGTAATATATGTTAGCTGTTTCCGAGTGTGTGTGTGTGTGTGCATGCTGGTCAAGGATCGAGGAGCCTGGGCAATTGCTCTCGTCTTCCTGAAGAACTGGTTTCCCGACCGTTTGCAAGACGAGGTTTGCGGCCATTTGTTCACGTTGCGTCTAGCAGAGCCACGGGCCACGCGTGAAACTGGACATAGCTTTAACTCAATTCATATGACAGGAGCCTGAGCACGCGGACGAGCTGGAGCCAGACCCTTTCTCTGGGTCCGATGATTTGGTTGATGACGATGAGGGTCATGATGCGGCCGGTGACCTGCTGAGTGGTGAAGAAGAGTTGGAGCCGGAGCGCGAGGTTCCCTGCGAGGCCGGCTCTGCCCCAGCTGAGGAAGCAAGCGCTGCTTCCATAGTCAAGGTGGAGAAAGAAGAGGGCCGAGTGTGTCTGGCAAAGGAGCCAGCGCCAGCAGTGCTGGATCCAAGCATGGCCGAGACTTTGGTCATGCTGGAACCCGATACGCCTCTTGTTGCTGTGGAGTCCGATGCACAGCCTTCTTGGGCTGACTGGCCCAAAGGCTCCGGGTTCACTCCCCCATCAGAGGTACGCCCATTGGCCCCAGCAAAATGCAGTCATGAGATATCAGCAATCGACGCCGCGATCGAGAGGCTTGAGAATCTAGCCTGATTCATTTTCCTGGGTGTGTTTGTGACTTCAAAAGCAAGAATGATGGGAGTGTGGTGATAAGGCGAGAACTGGCAGAGAAGAAAGCAAAGTCCAGTGCTCCTGCTTTGGTTGCTTTGCTAATCTGTGCAAATCAGATGACAAATCTCTTTTTGTTTCTCTCTCACTCTATCTCTCTCTCTATCTCCCTTTCACTCTTCACGTTTCCCGCCGAAGTAAGAAGATGCTTGCTCGGAGGCGAGATGCAGCGCCTCAGCAATGGCTCCTACAGTGGGTGTTTCCCAAGAGATCATGGACATCTCTGCGAGTGAGGTGGGTGAGCCGTGTTGTTTCGGGGCGGTCTTGCATGCACTCTTCGAGTCGAGACTTGTTGGCTGGGCTAGGCTGAGGATGTGGCTGAGGACAACCCAACCTCAGCTCCTGCCGAGCTGCCGGCCGAAGCAGATGAAGGTCAGGAGACTGCGGAGCCGGCTCATGCGACTGAGGAGTCGGATGATGCGGCTGAGGAAGCGGATGGTGGGGCTGAGGCGGCTGAGGAGCCGGATGAAGCGGCTGAGGAGCCGGATGAAGCGGCTGAGGAGCCGGATGAAGCGGCTGAGGAGCCGGATGAAGCGGCTGAGGAAGGCTTCTTGAGAAGAGAGGATCAGGATGAGCAGTTCCCGCAAGGCAAGAAGGGCAATAAGGGGGGGCCAAGAAAACCCAAGGCCAAAGCCAAGGCTTCAGCCAAAGCGAAAGCGAAGGCAAAAGCCAAGGCCAAAGCCAAGGCAAAAGCCGCGGCAAAAGCCACGGCAAAAGCCACGGCTAAGGCGAAAGCAAAAGCTGGGGCCAAGCCCAGGGGTAGGCCGCCCAAGGTTGGTGCCACCAAGTCTGTTGCCGAGGCTGAGGAAGAGGAGAGGCTTGAAACCCCCCCTTCGAAGAAATCGAAGATCGACACTGCCAGTCCCGAGAAGGAGAAGCCTTCCCGGCCACGTGGCCCCAGGGCGGAGCGCCCTTGCAAGGTGCGCAATGACTTCGAGTACACCACTGTCATGCCGTACTGGTCGAACAATCGCGTGGGACTGAAGCTCAAGTCCAGTGGCTCTCAGGTCTGCTGCTACCATTCGTGGGTTTCTTGTAGCGTCAAACACGACATTGGTTCTTTGCTCAACAATTGCTCTGCCTGCGCAGGTTTTCTCGCTGAACATGGCACACAGCAGCATCGAAGCGAAGCTCGAGGCCCTCTACAAGGTCGCAAACTGGCAGCAGAAGCACAACAGGTGCTGGTGTAGGTTTGATGTTATGTTAGGGATCAATACATTATGTGCTTGCCGATCCAAGGCCGAGCAGATCGATAAGAACGATGGCGATGTCGAGTGCCGCCCCGTTCAGCGACTTTATGCTCAGATCAAAGATCAAATGAGCAAACGCTAGGTTCTGATGGTCGTTGCTGTTTGCCTATGTTACAGTGCTTATGCCAGCATAAGCCGGGTTCTGAGGGCCCCAGCCAACTTGTGTTGACTCGACGCAAGGTTGGGTTGCCGTGTCTGGTCTGATGAAACAGCTCGGGGCAAGTCTCTGAGTCTCTGACTCACAACAAAGCAGATATTCAATGGAGCCCCAGGTTTTCTTCAGGCCCCACGGGTCGTCTCCTAATTATCCTTGGTGTTTAAAATGCCAGGGCCTGTGAGTTCCGTAGATGCTGTTCTGCAAGGGAGCAAAAAGAATTCTGCAATACTGCGTCCGTTGGAGGCAGCCAGCAGAAGAACTCGGCAAACCGACAATACCACTGGAACCTGTCTGCCTGTGTTAACTTCCTGAGGCGCTGCGTCCTGGCCTCTCATGGTTCGCAAGACACGGCCTTGTGGCAGATAAAGGCCAGGCAGTCCTGACAGTTTTGAAACATGTCTGAATGTTCGTGCCGCGACCCTAGCATTTTTGAACCAGGGCTTGCAAAGTCCAGCCACCGAGGGATTCGTACTCTCCCAGCAATGGTCATGCGTGGCCATGAGTTCGATACGACAGTACGCAGGCTTTTCACCATGGGTATGCCTAAAGCCTCTTGCCACAAGTTTAAAATACACCCATTCAGAAATGCGACGTCCGATCGCACCTGGAGCCTTCCCTAATTCCCTAACCGTATGCTGCTTGTCTGAGGCTTTCATCACTGTGATCCTTCTGCTATCCTTCATGCAGCCAGATCCTCTCTGCAATCGGTTCCAGGTGCTGGATTACTTTGCAGGGAAGGGTCGGATTGCTCGAGGGGCACGATTTATTGGGATGCCGGCAGCTGCTGCGGACATTGAGTACACAGACAACCCTAGAGCTATGGATATTACAACAGAGCCTGGCTTCGCGCACCTAGGCGAAAGTATTCGGCACAGAGTAGGGCAGTGCACAGCCCCAGTCCTTGAGAGCCCCAGCCTTTGCTTGTAGCGACAGCCGAGATTGAGCATCCTCCTGGCACTTCAAGGGGAGTTCGAGAAGGTTGTTGCATGCTTCGGTGTTTGCTGTTCCACATGGGTACAGACTTCCATTGGTGGTGCTGGAAACCGGAGATCTTGGGTCACGCCGATGGGCCACCCCGACAATGAGCGTATTCAGCAGGCCAATTCTATGGTAAGCAGGACGTACACTGCATGCTCAAGCGCTGGTCTTCGACAATCCAAAAGCCCGATAGCCAACTCCCCAAGCCCTGGCAGGACAGTTCTAATCCTTGGACTGGTGATGAGCCTATCTGGAGTTTGGCTTATCGAACAGCCATCCTCGTCGCTGCTGCCTCGTCACGACAGGTTCGAATGGCTCAAAGAGCGCATGGAAGCCTTGGGTATCAGAGTCGATTGGCTTCAGTTTGTCCAGGGTTTATTGGGCTGCGCTTTTGAACCTTTGAGGTGCTTGAACTAGCGATCTCCTTTGCAATCTAAGTTGTACTGCGAATCTTTCTGGATGCGTGGTTGGGGGCATCCGACGGCGAAGAGGACAGTGTGCTTATCCAACACGTCCTACATCAATCGGCTCAGAACTGGCAAGCTCCCTCGTGCAGTTCTAACATCAGATGTACGAACCGTGGTCAGAACGATCGACAAAAACGGCCGTAAGTGCTTTCAGGGGACCCGAGAGCTGAAGGGCACCCAGCTGCTTGCCTCGTACAGAGCGGGATTGTTCCGTCCTATGGTAGAAGCCAGAAAGTTGGAACATTAGTATCCTCATGCCCCTAAAGTAAAGTATACGGGATCCTAGCACAAATCCTCCTAAATCCATGTTCCAAATTTCTGGCTTCTACTCTAATTACAACTCATATTGAGCCCACGGTAGATCAACTAGATCAACCCTCTATGATGGCTCTGGTACACCGGTGGCGCTGAAATCTTCAATTTTCTCAACAATAGGACTGGGTTCAGTAGCTTCGGGGGAACTATAACTAGTAAGACCCGGAGTTCACGGGTGTGTCCAAAGCTTGAGCTAGGACCCCAAGTAGCCAGCTTAAGCCCCCAAATCGAGACCGGGCGAAGCTTTAGATTCAACCCTATTAGATCAGTTATAGCTATGCACTCATCCCGGAAAAATGTCCAGTTCCTTGGAGTTCACGCAAGCTTTAAGGCAGTCGGGCTCAAGTAATTAAAGTAAGGTCCCACGAATTGAAAACCGTTCAAGTATGTGTGTCTGTATGTATATATACCTATATATATATATATATATATATATATATTCATTATGATAATAAAAACTGTCATATTGTTATTACTACCATGATTATATATACATTTATAACATATTGTAATATCTACGCTTGTATATATATATATATATGTATATATGTATTCCTGAGGCGTGTCGATGCCGACCCATGTATCCCCAATGTCAGAATCTAGGAGCCCCAAAACCTGTGTAGCATTGAGGGACAGGATCATAACTTTAACCGCATTGAATCATTCAAGGGTGACCGCCACTTCCACCACCACCGCCGCTACCACTACACCACCAACAGCAACAACAGCCAAGCCACCACCCACAAACCACACCACTGCCACTACCACTACCATGCCACTGCCTCTACCCCTAGCCCTACCCTAGCCCTACCCTAGCCCTACCCAAGCCCCAGCCCCAAAACCACTCCTGCTGTCTCCTTCTGCTCCTGCTGCTGCTGCTGCTGCTACTACTACTACTACTACTACTACTACTACTGCTACTGCTACTGCCACTGCTACGACGCCAACTACCACTACGACTGCTACCACGACTACTACTAGTGCTACTACTACTACTACTACTACCACCACCACTACCACTACCACTGCCACTACTACTACTACTACTACTACTACTACTACTACTACTACTACTACTACTACTACTACTACTCCTGCTGCTGCTGCTGCTACTACTGCTGCTGCTGCTGCTACTACTACTACTACTACTACAAGCCTGGAAGGAAGGACACAAAACAGCACTCTGATCACCTTTAATCGAACACACACCTCAACGTGCTGAGTGTCCTTTCAACCGGCTCCTACTACTACTACTACTACTACTACTACTACTACTACTACTACTGCTCTACTGCTGCTACTACTACTACTACTACTACTACTACTACTACTACTACTACTACTACTACTACTACTACTACTACTACTACTACTACTACTACTACTACTACTCCTGCTGCTGCTGCTACTACTACTACTACTACTACTACTACTACTGCTGCTGCTGCTGCTGCTGTTGCTGCCTGCTACTGCTACTATGTAGAACCGACACTCAGAACCCAATGGTACAAGGGGCCAGCCAAGCCGCCAAAGGATATATCCACTCGGGTATGTCCGCCGCGTGCTCGAGATTGCGGAGCATTCCTGGAGCGAGGCCAGGGATCCTGTGGTTCCTGTGTCTGGGCTTCGGTCGTGCGTTCTGGCAATGTGCTTTTTACGCGTGTCCTGTGCATCGGGCTGCTTCCGAAATCCTAGGCTGATGAGGCGTCCTCTTTGTCCGAGCTTTATGCAGCTTACCCGTGGGGTGATATGTGGGAAGACGCTGGTATGATTCAGTTGTTCACATACCTGAGAACGTCGAGCAAACTTTGCATCCCCGAAGAGTGGCGTGAGATTATTCCCTCAAGCCTATGAAGATCTTCTGATGGGTTTATCCAATTCAGATATGCAGCCGCTTCAAGAAACGGCTTTGCCACTGGATGGCAATTAATACACTTGCTAGGCTATTTTGGTTTAGCTAGGCGTTTTTGGTTTTGGGGTGTGTGGTGATAGCGTCCGCAAGGCGTCTTTTCGCGTCCTTCAGGCGTCTTTACCCGGGTCGTCCCGGATGGCGTCCGCCCCCGAAAGGCGCCTTTCCAAATCCCGACCCTTTTCTTTGTTGTGAAGGCGTCCGGCGAAGGCGTCCGGACCCGTCCGGACCCGTCCGGGAGCGTCCGGGGTGTCCAGCGCGTCAAGAAGGGGATGGTGGGGGCTTGGAGGGAGAATGGGTGGGGCGGGTGGGGGGATGCGGGGCGATTAGGGGGGTTTGGGGGGTGTGGAACCAACACCCCTAGGCCCAAGTAGCTCCGCCAAAAGAGGATGCTGGTTAAGGGCGCTCAAACCGACAGAGGATGCTAGTTAAGGGCGCTCCGTTCGGTTGTGTAGCGGGTTGCTGGGGTGGGTGGGGTGGTGGGGTGGGGTGGGGGGGTGGGTGGGGGGGTGGAGTGGGGGGTACTCTCGTTGGAGTTGTTTTTGCAGCGCTGGTACTTGGGGGGGGGGCGTTCGGGCGGGTCGGCGTCGTGGGTGGTTGGGGCAGCCACCCAATGCTCATGATGCTCGCTTGTGGTGGGGGCTGTTTGCTTACTTTCGGACATTTGGCTTGGTCGCGAAAAAAGAGAAAGAAAGGCAGAGGAAGAGAGAGGATATATATATATATATATATATATACACACACACATGTACATATACACATACACACATGTACACCTAGACACCTATACGCATATAAACATATACACACATACATCTAAACATATACATATATACATATACCTATTACCTATACATGTATATATGTATATATATATATACATGTGTACATACACACATACCTACCCACCTACATACTACACACATATATATATATATACATACATACATATACACACTATATATGCATGATATATGGTATGTACATACATATATGTACATAGAATACGTTGAAAGCAAGCATGAAAGTACAAGTGTAAGAAGAAGGGCAAGGCAACAGATCGAGAGACAGGGGCGAAGAGAAGGAGAGCGTGAGGGGAAGGGAAGGAGGGAAAGAAATATATTGATCTCGAGAAAGAGACGCAGGCAGAGAGAGAAAGAGAGGGAACACTGTGCGTCGAATTCGATCTAAGGCAACCTGTGCGATGCAATGTGTCTGTTGAGCTTGGCTACGCACAGATGGGCATCGCCAACCAG